CAACAAAGTTGAAGTATTTTATCGCTAAATAATTAAAGCTTAGATATACTTTGAACTAATCAGTTTTCCTTATCATTTATTGAATATGATCTTTATTTAGATACCAGTTAGATGGCCTAGTTGTATTTTGTGAATCCTTATTGAGAAAAAATATCAGCTGTTTAAAAGAAATACAAAAAATATACTTGAGTATTATGATTATTATCGTAATTTGTTTCAATAAGATCTATCTGATTCGCTATAGAAACACGTTTAGCTTTATAGTTTAGAAAAAATATCCTTTTTTAATTATTCCCATAGTTTTCACAAAAATTTTGAACGAGAGTAACAGATTAAGCTAAGTCTTTGGGATTTTTACAATATCACTTTGGCTTCGTCTGGAAATAATTATGATATAAGTGGATAATGAAGGTATGTTGCTTAATCAAAGACTTTTCATTAGTAAGTATGTATAAATGTGAGAGAACTAAAGATTACCAAAAATTATGCTTTATAATATGATAACAGATGTCAGTATAGTATTTACTTCGATTATACTCTTGTAGGAATAATGTGAGTCAGCATTTTTCTCTCATATAACACAGTTATCAGTAATCAAAACGTTTGTTCATACAAGTAGTTGCATGTATACGAATGAAGGTGATATTTCATTTATTTTATGTAATTAGAGACAAAGTAATGTACAAAAATTTATACTATACTGCTATATAGGCTGAACTCCAAACAACTTTCAACCAAAATCAAAATCAGGATTTTCAATACAAATATCAAGACAGTTCTACTGTATGGAGTGGAAACTTGGAGGACTACCAAAGGCATCATCCAGAAGATACAAGTGTTTATTAACAGTTGTCTACGCAAAATACTTCGGATTCGTTGGCCAGACACCATCAGCAACAACGAACTGTGGGAGAGAACCAACCAAATTCCAGTGGATGAGGAAATCGGGAAGAAGCGGTGTAAGTGGATAGGACACACACTACGAAAAGCACCCAACTGCATCACGAGACAAGCTCTCACATGGAACCCTCAAGGCAAAAGGAAAAGAGGAAGGCCAAGGAATACATTACGCCGAAAAATAGAGGAAGATATGAGAGGAATGAACAAACATTGGACAGAACTGGAGAGAGAAGCCCAGGACAGAGTTGGTTGGAGAAAACTGGTGGGCGGCCTATACTCCATTGGGGATAACAGGCGTAAGTGAGTAAGTAAGCTATATAGGCTAGAAGTAAATTGATAAGACATCGGACATTTCACTGTCTACATCTCTACAGTGAAAGAAATTAAGTTCTCCTAACTATGGCTGTTAGATGACTATGCATGTTTTATAAATACTGATTCCTTATAGTCTTTAAAATAAGGTTAGGTGAAGCGTTTAGGCTTATTAAAGGTAACTATTGATACGTAAAACCACTCTGAATCAAAGGCCTTTTCATTTATGCTCGTTCTAAACATTTCATCTCGTCAACTACTGTAATAATAATAATAATAATAATAATAATAATAATAATAATAATTTTCGATGCTTTCCAGGTTGAAGAGAAGTATGAAATGATTGTGTTTACAGTTTATATATTAGCGTGAAAATCAGTTACATCAGATTAACATTTCTTTATTCTTTATTCCAGGTAAGTCAATAAGATTTTTGTTTTCAGAATAGCTTACAATGTGATCAGATGAAGCTTAAGACTAGAGAGTTAATGAAAAACATGGATTTAATTTATTATCAGTAGTTTACATTTATATAGCGATGGGAAAAAATATAGTAATAATTAATCCTTTTAGTATATCAATTATGATTATATTTCTCCTTTTTATTAGCTAGTAATTTCTGATTTCTATTTTTTCTTATATATCTGTGTCATATTAGAAATCGATTTTCTGCCCAAATAAATAAATATGTGATATGATGCGGCATAAGAGATGACATTACTTAATTGAGTATTTTTATTTATATCAACTAAGTATGAACTTTGCTGAATATGACAAGTGTAAAAATGTTTATTCAGTGACCATTGTATTTCTGTTTAATTGTTCAAAAGCATAATCGTTTTTATTTTCAGTACAATACTTTATGTATTCAATGAACACAAATTATTTATATTCTACATGATTATGAAGTATGCGATTTTGTCATAATTCTAGGCATTTTCCAAATATATGACTTCATTTCAAAAATGGTTTCAAAAAATGTGTAACTTTTAACAATCTTCACAACCCCGTAATGCAAATTACCTGTGCTCACTAGTGACTAGCTTCGTGAGGAATCACCTTCTCCGAGTTCTAGTGGGAAGACGTGACCAGTGAAGTTCAACCTATTCGAGTGTAGACGGTGTCTACTGAAGACTGTGTATGAGGTTGCGCAACTCCGTGAATTTGATCAAGTTAGACATTAACACCGTTAGATACCGGCTCGGTGGTCTAAAGATTAGGGCGTTCGCGCACAATACCGAAGGTCCTGGTTTCGAATCCTTCGGGGTGCAGGAGTCGTGGGTGCGCACTGCCACTGTTGAATCCCATACCAGGACGAAACAGCCGTCCAGTGCTGCCAGGTTTTGTAATGAGGGTCTAACATTGATTGATTCATGGTTTCAAAAAAATGTGTAATTTAACAATCTTCACAACCCCGTAATGCAAATATTATAATTGCTAATAATTTCTGTGATTGTATAGTTTTTTTTTTAAGTTTTTGTTTTAAGTGAAGAAAACTAATACGCCGGCCTTTTGTTTATATTTGTTAATTACTGACTGACAAAAGTAATGACCCTTATAGCAATCATTATTAATGCTCACATTGATATTATAAGAAAGAGCTTTAAAGAATTACTCATAATTAAACAGAAATCAGTTAGTATCAATGCCATATTTTCTTTTAACTAACCTACATCAAAATGCTTTTTATCTGATAACGTTGGCTAATCTGATTGACACTCAGGCATTTCAAACTGCTTTCCACCAGTGAATATGATATGGTTTGATTGAATTGAAATCTGCCGGTCGAATTTTATTATGGTCAGTTATTCAGCTCTCAATATCTTAGTATATGATTTCAAGATGACTTAACCAAAGTTAACCAGAAAAAAAATAAACTGATCTTTAGCTAGTCCACTGCCTCGACGAGCTTTGTTTTGTAGTGTAGGAGTAGGTCGGAAGAAAGCTAGGGGCGGCTTAACCAAAACATGGCAGAAATCCATGAAGTCATTGATGAGTTGACTTAGCCATGTCGGTAATTGTCGACTACCTGGTTGGGGTCCGCGAGATGACGATATTCGATGGTTAGAGACCTTGAATGACATGGCTCAAAATCGTTCGCAATGGCGCCGGTGCATTTATTCTTTGTGTTCTCTCAAATCCTAATCTTCTGGATTCTTCAACACCTCTAGTTTTGACTTTCTAAACTTTTCTCACTGAATCATATTTCTTGAATATCTTCTAATCCTAACCTCTCCGATTACTTCTAATTCCCTTACTACCTCTTCTACTATTTCATTTGAATTGACAATTATATCTCTGTGCTGATGTGGTATGGCAACATGAACTGATGTACTTACGTACACAGTTCTACGTTGCATCTGACTGACTGACTGAGTTAGTGTGATGAAATAAGCCAACTAGTGTTACGTAAGTCAGCTAGAAGTAGTGGATGTAATCTAAGGTTTATATCAATCTATTATTATAAATAGGTTAGAAAAATGATATATTTTCTGTTTTTATAGTGATTATAACAATGTATGCATATTATGTACTTGTAATTTAAAAGATTTTGAAAAATTACTGTGACGTTCAGCTGAGCGAAAAATACTTATCAAATATTGAATTAATAACTCACAAACTATATAAATAAATTTACAATTGTCTGATCATCAGTTAGTGACTAATGTTATGTGTGTTGATCAGATTCTATGGGTCAAATTGTAATGTGGCCACTAATCTAAGTGACTTAACAATGTGAACTATGTTGAGATGTAAGTTGGTGGTTGGATTGCGTAAGTCTAAGATTTCTTGTCGACTACCGCCAACAGCCATCCTATCGAAATAGAATGTACAATCAAACACAAAAACAATCAGCTAACATGATCATTATCCCTGGGTAAAATTACATTTTTCTGTTAACAAAAATATTCGATAAACATTAAACACAAGTTTAAAGTTATTTAAAATATTAGGAATCGTAATATATGGATGAAATGACATCTTAGTTTAAATTTTAAAAGTGTACAGTCTCATTCTGAGTAAGTCAGTGGTAACCATATAAATTGTGAAAGTTAATGAATCCTACGAGAAACATTAGATATCACATTACTGGTAAGTAAAAACTGGTACAACATTATGGGTGTAAGAAATTATGTGAAAATATAGTGCTTAGTTCCGATCGTCCTTACTTTCGTTTTGAACTGTAATGATGATCGATATAATACAAGTTGGAAAACAGTTAGTTCATGACATTTTATTTTACTGTACTTAGTCAAACTGGTAAGTTCAGGCAAGAGCAATACTTAAAACCAATTGATTAAAAATATCTAATGACACAATACAAAATCTACTTTATGATCATTATGATATTTATCTCATATTTTCTACAAGTCAGCTCAAGTCAGCTGTTAGTCTTAAGTGTTTTTTTATTCTTCTTATTAGATTTTTCGTAACATATTTAGATTTAAAATCTACACGAACTTGATCACATCCTCTTCCGTTTCATTCGGTTTGTCTTCAATTTCAGTGTGTTAGTGTGCAAAAAGGCTAATTAGACTGATGTAGATTTGTGTCAGTTACTGCGCTAATGGTGAACGACAGTTATATATATATATATATATAAGAGAAACCTGATTTATAGTTCTTTCTTTCAGTGAGGTTATTTCTGTTAAAACACAGCTTACACATTAGTACTTATCAGATAGGAACTTTTATTTTCTATTAGTTTTAGACATAATCTCATATAATATTTTACTAATCCAATATTCATTGAATTACTTCACAAAACACATTCTATTTTAGTTACAATGTGTTTGGAGAAAACAATGAAACAAACATTAGAACTACAAGTATATATGCATACTCAACTGTCGAAATCGATGAAGAAATTTCATTTTCAAAATTATTATTCAATATATTCTATATGTCGAGTAATATGTTGTCTACTGTTAGGATTTACAACTGGTTTATTAATATTATTGATTTGGAAAGTATTCTTTGGAACAATGTCAAATTATCAACAACTTTATGAATATCATACTAATCGGAAAAATTACTTATCTGATATATTAACAGAGTTTATTGTAAAAAATATTGTGAGTAGTAGTAGTAGTAGTAGTAGTAGTTTTGGCATTACAACAAATAATAATAATAATAATAATAATAATAATAATGACAAGTTAGATACAAATGCACCCACTATGAATGACTACTATTCAACCAGCATAAATGAACAGAATAAACAAGAGACGAGAATACCTCCAATAACAATTATTAACTCATTTGATGTCAATAAAACTAATAGTCATACAAAGTTACATATTAACGGTAAGTTTACTTTTCCGCTTAGTTATGTAAACAAACTCTAATAATAATAATAATAATAATAATAATAATAATAATAATAATAATAATCTTATCTGTTTGAAATCATCAATCAATCATTGTTAGACTACCATTAGAAACCTGGCATACAATGGTGTTAATATCTAACTCTGATTGATCTATGGATCTTGCGCGACCTTACCAATTTGTCTTTGGTAATTACTGACTACACCCGACAGGATTGAACTCCATTGGTCACATCTTCTCAGTTAGAACTCCGAGAATTTCCTCATGAAGTTAGTCACTAGTGAGCATATGTTATGATATTTTCGAGTGCTTCCAGGTTTCTAATGGTGGTGGTTTAACAATGATCATTGATTGATGATTTCAAATGTGTCAAAACACAAAATCTGCAAAACTCTGCCCGAAAATAATCTTATTCTTCTTTTTTTCATTTCCAGTAGATACAGACTATTCTACAAAATTGTATAAAAAAGTTAGAATATTATGTTATATTAATACACATCCAGAGAATTATTATAAAAAAGCAATACATGTACATAATACATGGGCTAGAAGATGTACAAAGCATCTATTTATGAGTACGAAACCTGATCCCATTCTACCGATTGCTGGTAAGTAGTAGTATTGTTATGTCGAGTATACATGACAAAAACACATCAATATGTGCACACATGTATAGTATTTTTTCTCACTATTTTATTTGTTCATGATAATAATTGATGGTTAGAGATCTTGAATGACATCGCTCAGAATCGTTCGCAATGACGCCGGTGCATTCATTCTCTGTGTTCTCTCAAATCCTATTCTTCTGGATTCTTCAATACCTCTAGTTTTGACTTTCTAAACTTATCTCACTGAATCATACTTCTTGAATAATATCTTCTAATCCTTACCTCTCCGATTACTTCTAATACCTTTACTACCTCTTCTACTATTGGATTTGAAATGACAATTAACTGTCTGTGCTGATGTGGTATGGCAACATGTACTGATGTACTTACGTACGAAGTTCTACGTTGCATCTGACTGACTGACTGACTGAGTGACTGACTGACCGTTGTATGCCATCTCATTGGTATAAAGGTTAAGCATTTCCGCCCCGAGACCGAACGTCTTGGATTAGATTCCTGCAGGCGGGGGCAGTGAATGCGTACTTGTGATGATTTGCATACTAGGGACGAAACTGCCATCCAATAATGTTTTCAGGTTTCTAACAGTTTGTTCATATATTGATAGCCAGTGATTATGTTATGCTCGTCACTTGAAAACTATTACGAGTTCAACATAGTCAATAAACAAGAACGAGACAATGAACCAGTGACACGATAGGCTACTCTGATCCGCTGCCCAAAATTAACTGACGACAAAGTCTTGAAATAGCGTAGAAAGTGTATTCTATAAACAACCCAGCAAATACAATTATTTCAAGCACACAAATCGTGTTTATTTATACATCATAGAAACGTTCTTGGGAGAGTGACAAAAATAGTGTACTAAAATAACACATCAACCAATCACAGCCAAGGATTTTCCTGGTGGTAAATGTGATCTCAAGATCAACTGATCAGCCAATAAACGAAATCCAAAATTAAGACATTTATCAAGCGAATTCTGGGGATCTAACGTCCTCATCAAATTATTACACGCATAAAATTTTTCTTAATTAATTAATCAATAAGTAGTATGAACCATACCATTCTCATATTTTCTTCATGTTTGCCAAATTGAGAATTTTTTCCTAAAAAAATAATTTTCATCTTCCCTATTCTTCGTTAAGTTCTCAATCATTAGGCAATCGTCTTTTGATATTTGAAATGTCAGATCATTTTTTGATGCAGCGTAGAGTAAGCAACACAGATTTGATAAGAATAATGTGAATTCATGTTAGGATTTAATTTCTATTTATAATTCTACAATTTCATAAACTTGTTATATAACTGGTGTTGTGGTGTGTGCTACTTATACGAACGATATAAGTAATGTAAGAAAGGACGCGAAAGAAGAAGTCTCACGGTCAGAAGAGGAAAACGGAAAACAAATGGAGCAAAAGCAAGAAGTAAATGGAGTATCAACAGGAAGGAAAGGAAGTAACAACAGAAATGGAAGAAGGATGGAGTGTTGGAAGTCAGGACTCAAAGATGTTGTGCAAACAGATTATTCCTCTTCCAATGCCCGGTTCCTCCGCAAACATAGCATTTATTATTTCTTCCACCCTTTATTCGTAACGCTGCCACCTCACGTCGTGACTCTTCTATCTTCTTTGCGACATCAGCCGCCTGTCTCTCACACGCCACCGAGGCGACTGTTGGGTTCATCAGTTGTCTTGTTACTTTAGCCAGCTTGGTGACGTCCATTGGTTGTGCGAAGTTCACCAGTCTCAACTGTTGGGCAACCTCTGCAGGCACACTTTCAATGAATTGCGACGCTAGCAGCTGTGCTTGCGACTCCTCATCCAAATTCGGCAGACACCGGCGCAGCAATCTTGTCAACTCCACAGCCGGCACCAGTGGGTCGCCATCCACCGTCAGTCTCGCCTCTCGAAACTTCTGCAGCGCGTCCTGCCTATCCACCGGGCTGTCGAACTCCACCAGCAACCTTTCCGTCACCACCTCCCAGTCAGCGTCCTCCACACCATCTTACACCGCTCTCGCCCTGCCTCTTAGTAGAGTCCCCAACACCACCGCCTTCGCCCTCTGCTCCTTGACTCCTACCAGTTCCGCCACGGCTTCGAACTCCTTCAAGAAGCTCCTTACATCTAAGTCTTCAAACTCCCGAGGCCGTGGGATCTTCATCCCGTGTAGAGGCAGCGACACCAATTAAGAAGACTGAGGCAGTCGAGGAAGATTGTATTATGCAAATTTACACTCTCAGTCAGTTAAAAACGAAAACATTGCACTGAACACTCTGTTTGCACACCATCTTTGAGTTGTGAATTCCAACACTCCATCCTTCTTCCATTCCTGTTGTTACTTCCTTTCCTTCCTGTTGGTACTCCATTTATTTCTTGCTTTTGCTCCATTTGCTTTCCGTTTTCCTCTTGTGACCGTGAGACTTCTTCTTTCACGTCCCTTCTTATACTACTTATCTCGTTCGTATAAGTAGCACACACCACAGTGTAATGTGACTTTACAACTTTAAAGTTTCTTTGTTGGATTATTTTTTGTTCGTGTTCAATGACATGATAGGTTGCTTTAGTTATATGGAAAGTATTTTATTTCTCTTAATAAATGAAAAAATTTGGATGAAATACAGACAATTTAGCGAAGGAAATTTTCTTTTTCGATGATATCATTTCCTAAAGTCTGTACTATAGGATTTATAGTATTAAGAATGTAATACATGTGAGTCTTGAATAAAAAATGAAGGCATCATGTAAATAAGAATGATCAAAGATCGTCTATGAAAGGTAACTGTGAACTTTGATAATATGTAAAAATTGTTCATAAATCAAATTTCTTTTACCCATTGAAATCATCAGTTATTCATTGTTAGACCACCATTAGAAACCTGGAAGTAATGAACTCGAACTCCACTGGTCACTGATCAACCCTGTCGGGTTTTGGCAGTAATTACTAAAGGTAAATGCGTGAAATCGCGCAAAATCTTTAGATCAATCAGAATTAGACATTAACACCGTTGGATGCCGGCTCAGTGGTCCAGAGACTAGGCGTTCGCGCACAATACTGAAGGTCCTGGGTTCGAATTCTACGAGATGCAGGAATTGTGGATGCGCACTGTTGATGAGTCCCGTACCAGGACGAAACGGCCGTCTTTCAGTGGTTCCAGGTTTCTAATGATAGTCTAACAATGACTGATTGATAATTTCAATGGGTAAAAAACACTATTCTACATAACTCTAATTAAAAATCAAATTCTATAGAAACTTTTATACTTTTATACAGCTGAGTTAGGATATTTCGTTAGTCAGTTGTTCAGATGCCTGAAGAATTACTTTTTTTTGCTTCCTAGGTAGCAATATAAGCAGAGTAATATCAAATGCAAATTATGTTCATATCACTGGATCATAGGTGACATAGGATTAAGAAACAGTTCAAAAGGGGGATACAATCAAAACAAAGGTGCAAACAACGACAGGTTTAATGTCAACGGTAGCCAATCAAGATCGTGGTTAGCAGAACAAGCTACAGGTCAAACGTGGAGAAATTCGAATACTTCACTTCCCCCTGAGCTATAAATTTTGTCCACCATCGTAAATTTGTTAAAATTATCAACCCTAATTAAACTATTTATTTTTTTTAGGATTTAATTTGTTTTAGGGAAAACAAGTGATTAATTTTTATATCATTCCGTTGTGCTTATTCCCCCCCAGTAAATAATGATAATTGACTTTCCTCTTTTCTTTTTATTACAATTGACAGTTTTAAAATTACCATATCCAGAATCGAAAATGCATTTATGGAGTAAATTTCGCATTATACTTCGTTACATTTATCAATTTCGTAATGATTATGATTATTTTCTAAAAACTGATGATGATACTTATGTAATCATTGAAAATTTATTGCACGTTTTGCAAAATTATTCACCAGATAAACCTTTTATGATTGGACATCGATTTCCGGTAAATAAGTTATTTTCATTTTCGATTAAATTTTGTCGAATGGGTTTTTTTCAAGAAGTCTAAGCAGATAAACAACCGGTCGTAGTTAGTTAGCATAGGGAAGAGAATACATGTGTTTCTATACAAGTTGTTTTGTTACGTCAGTACAGTGAGATGAAATAACAAGTGAATGTCCGAATGGAGTAAGATTAATGAGTGAACTAATGAACTGTTTGAAGCGAAAACTAAGAAATAATACTCAAACTTGAGAATGATGAAAAGGTAAGAAAAATGAACATCCTGATCACTGCAACCAGTTTTCAGCCATGCTACTTGAGGTCTGTAACAACTGATCTAATATTGTTGTACTCATTCTAACCACATGATATTTACCTAACAGTAAAAAATTAGATCAACAGTCAATGACTTTATAGACTGGCGTTTATCTTCCCTGAATTCTTTTCTATCTACTGCTACACTACTTGATACTACTTACTTACTTACTTACGCCTGTTACCCCCAATGGAGCATAGGCCGCACACCAGTTTTCTCCAACCAACTCTGTCCTGGGCTTCCCTCTCCAGTTCTGTCCAATTTTCGTTCATTCCTCTCATATCTTTCTCTATTTCTCGGCGTAGTGTGTTCCTTGGCCTTCCTCTTTTCCTTTTGCCTTGAGGATTCCATGTGAGGGCTTGTCTTGTGACGCAGTTAGGTGCTTTCCGCAATGTGTGTCCTATCCACTTCCAAAGCTTATTCCTGATTTCCTCATCCATTGGAATCTGATTTGTTCTCTCCCACAGTTCGTTGTTGCTGATGGTGTCTGGCCAACGAATACGAAGTATTTTGCGTAGACAACTGTTAATAAACACTTGTATCTTCTGGATGATGGCTTTCGTAGTTCTCCAAGTTTCCGCTCCATACAGTAGAACTGTCTTTACATTTGTATTGAAAATTCTGATTTTGATTTTGTTTGAAAGTTGTTTGGAGTTCCAGATATTTTTCAACTGTAGAAATGCAACCCTCGCTTTGCCATTCCGTGCCCTTACATCTGCATCGGATCCACCTTGATTGTTGATGATGCTGCCCATATATGTAAAGGTGTTGACGTCTTCCAAGGCATCTCCATCAACAGTGATTTAGTTGGTGCATGTTGTGTTGCATCGGAGAATTTCGCCTTTTCCTTTATGAATATTGAAACCTGCTGCTGCAGAGGCTGCTGCTACACTGGTCGTCTTCTCTTGCATTTGTTGTTGCGTGTGAGATTGAAGAGCCAGATCATCTGCGAAGTCTAGGCTGTCCAGCTGCGTCCTAACTGTCCAGTCGATACCGTGCTTCCCTCCAGATGTTGAGGTTTTCATAATCCAGTCGATGACCAGTAGAAAGAGAAAGGTTGAGAGTAAGCAACCTTGCCTGACACCGGTCTTCACCTCGAAAGAGTCCGTTAGCTGTCCATCGTGTACGATTTTGCAGTTGAATCCATCATAAGAATTCCGTATGATATTGACTATCGTCTCAGACACGCCGTGGTGTCGAAGAAGCCTCCACAGTGTTTTTCTATCCACTCTATCGAATGCTTTCTGGTAGTCGATGAAGTTGATGTAGAGTGGTGAGTTCCATTCTATTGATTGTTCCACAATGATCCGTAATGTAGCAATTTGGTCAGTACACGATCGATCCTTACGAAATCCGGCCTGTTGATCTCGAAGTTGGGCGTCTACGAAGTCCTTCATACCGTGTAACAATACTCTGTTGAAGACTTTGCCTGGTATTGAGAGAAGAGTGATGCCTCTGTAGTTCCCACACTTGTTGAGATTGCCTTTCATTGGTATTTTGATGAGGTATCGTTCTTTCCAATCTGATTGTACTTGTTCCTCATCCCAAATCTTCTTGAAGAGGATGTGAAATATTTTCGCAGTTGCTTCTACATCTGCTTTCGTTGCCTCTGCTGGTATGTTGTCTGGTCCTGCTGCTTTGCCGCTCTTGATTTGTCTGATGGCCATACTGATCTCCTCAATTGTAGGTACGCCAATATTATTTGGGAGGTCGGTGGATGCTGCGTCGATGTTGGGTGTGTTCAGTGGAGCTGGTCGATTCAGGAGTTCCTTAAAGTGCTCTACCCACCTATTTCGCTGTTCTTCAGTGTTGCTGATTACTTTGCCTTCCTTACTTTTCACTGGTCGTTCTGGTTTACGATAGTTTCCGGCGAGCTTCTTTGTTGTTTCGTACAACTGTCTCATGTTTCCTTCTCTTGCAGCCTTTTCCGCCGTCGTTGCTAGATCTTCCACATATTTTCGTTTGTCAGCTCTGATGCTCTTCTTCACTTCCCTGTTTGCTTCTGTGTATGCAGCTTGTGCGGTAACTTTCTCTGCTCTTGTTCGGCTGACATTCACTGCTGCCTTCTTGTTCCTCCTTTCTTCAATTTTTTCAAGAGTACCAACAGAGATCCATTCCTTGTGATGGTGCTTCTTGCGACCAAGGACCTCCTGACATGTTGAAGTGATTGCCTCCTTAATCCCTTTCCAATTGTTCTCCAATGTTGCTTCCTCTCCATTGAGTAGATCCTGAAAGGCCTGGAACCTATTGGTGAGGGCTATCCTGAATTCGTTGAGCTTTACAGTATCCCGAAGAAAGGCCGTATTAAACTTGTGTGATGTTGTCTGTCCCGTTGTCCAGTGCTTCTTTAGTTTCAGTCTCATTTTGGCGATCAGCAAATGGTGATCTGAGGTTATATCAACTCCTCTCCTGGTTCTCACATCCTCCATAGTCCTACTGAACGTTCTGTTGATACAGATATGATCAATTTGGTTTTGAGTAGTGTGATCCGGTGAAATCCATGTGGCTTTGTGAATGCGTTTGTGCGGGAATATTGTGCCACCGATGACCAGTTTGTTGAAGGCACATAGGTTTGCAAATCTCTCACCGTTTTCGTTCCTTTCTCCCAGTCCATGTCGTCCCATGATGTCTTCATATCCAGTGTTGTCCATGCCAACCTTGGCATTCAGATCTCCCATAAGAATCGTCAAATCCTTTGGTGAACATTTATCGACGATTGACTTCAGCCTTTCGTAGAATTGATCTTTAACGTCGTGATTGTAGTTATTGGTAGGTGCATAACATTGGATGACGTTCATTTTAATGTCCTGTTTCTTTGTTTTGAAGGATGCTTTAATGATCCTCGGTCCATGAGATTCCCATCCTATCAGTGCCTTTTGCGCATGTTTGGACAGCATTTTCCTCTTCATGATCAGAGTATAACAGCAGTTATCCTGAAGCTAGTCTCAGTTGTCCTACTTGTGTCCAATGCGTTTCACTGATGCCGAGCACCTCGAGGTTTTATCTTTTCATTTCTGCCGCAACTTGAAATAGTCTTCCAGTCTCCCACAATGTACGAACGTCCCATGTACCTAAAAGAATGGTTGCTCTGGTTGTCAGAAGAGGCATCAGCCCCGTGACCTCCGAGAAAACTCGGCTTTCATCACGCGACGTCATAATTCTTCTTCCAACTCTCAGGGCAGAGTTAAAATGGTTTGAATTAGTTTTTCCGGTTAGCGTTTTTTTGGCAAGTTTTTGACGGAATGGGGTCGCCAACCCCATGTCCAACCCTCCTCCTTTAACCGGGCTTGGGACCGGCAGTAGCCCCGAAGGTTCTACTGGCGGAGTTACTTGATACTACTAATTTAAGTTTATGATGGTTTGGCCTAGATAAAAATTATCCCAAACACTTTTATCGATGAAGATTTTACAATCTAGTTAGTCACTATCTTTGTCTAATATCCTAGACCAAACACCATCGTTGGTGATTCATTTATCCAACGACGAATAAGCAGTGTTCAAATACCAGTGACTAAAGTGTGTCCTCTAATTTCAAAAGCCACTTTTCCAAATAAAGAGCAAGTTTTACTTCTAAATCAATAATTTTTTCTTTTGATAGGCGGACAGATAACTCGTCTACACTATAGGTAGTGTAATTGTGGGAAAATCAGTCAGTTAGTCAGTCAGTTGCAACGTAGAACTTCGTACGTATGTACAGAAGTTCATGTTACCATACCACATTAGCACAGAGACGCAAATGTCAAATCAAATCCCACAGTGATAAAGATAGTAAAGGTATTAATGGTAATGAAGATGACTAGGGTTCAAAGATATTACTCAGGAGGAATAATTCAGTGAGATAAGGTTAGAAAGACAAAGGTAGAGGTGCTGATGAATCCAGAAGATTAGGATTTGAGAGATCTCAAAGAATGGATGAACTTGCGCAATTGCAAACGATTTTGAGCCATGTCGCTCTAGGTCTCTAACCATTGGTGACTTTCGTCTCGCGGATTCCAACCAGATAGTCTACATCTACCAACAGGACTCAGTCCACTTGCCAATGGCTTCATGAATTTCTGCCATGTTTTGGTCTGGCCGCCCCTAACTTTCTTCCAACCTACTCCCACACCACAAAACATAGCTCGTCGAGCTCAGATAATTAGTCCAGCTATTATCGTATATCATATCAGTAGATTGATGTAGACATTTGTGTCACTCGAATATTAAGTGTATTCAATAGTCTTAGATTAAAATGTACCATTATCCAAACGACAAATAAGATCGATTGAACTACAATCTAAAATGAATTGTTTTGGACACTATGGGATATAGTGTCTCAGTCTGTTTTCATTAAATAACTAGGAATTATGAGAGTGTGATTTATCCTCTCAGTGTTGGGATGAAAGTTTTTAATCATGTTATGTAAGGTTACTAAAAATCTCATTCATAACAAATACTTTAATTTGCCAGTAGACTAAATGTCATTATTAGTAAGAGAAAAAAGATCACTAGACGATATTTCATAATTTTCACATGATTGTCACAAAGTATAATGAATTGTCTTTTTCAATCAACCATCATCAGTCTTCAATGATATATAATATTTCTTTCATAAACTTCAGTCATTTTAATCAGGTTATCAGACTTGCAAGATTTTCATAAACTTATTACAGTGTCAACTAAAGGGTAATTATGTAACCCGTCGAATATCACAGGTAGATTGGCTTGCTGCAAGAATGTTCCATTATTACCAATAAGTGGTGTTTTGTATGTCATCAATTAGTTCACTAAAACTTAAACATTGAATTTGATAAATTTTCGAACATTGCATAAAGTAAAGAGTCATTTTCGAAATTCCCATACTGATTTACGAAGAAATTTGTTCATTGACCTCCGGTTCATTCAAGAGATTAGTTTTCAATATGAACTACGCTTACTTGCCAGATCCTAAATAGCATGTTTATGTACGGAAGAGTTAATAAATCTGTAATCAAGAATAAAGTGAATTGAGTGAAGAAAATTCTTATTGTCGATCATTTTATTTACTATAAAAAGTGTACAGTCACATTTACATTTATATAACAAATCTATGAGATTTGTAGAATTATACATAGAAATTCACTCCTACCGTGAATTCGCGTTCAGTCTATGTTTGGATACCGGCCCAGTGTTCCGATGGTTAGGCGTTCGCGCACAAGACCGAAGGTCCCGGGTTCGAATCCTGCGAGGTGCAGGAGTCGTGGATGCGCACTGTCACTGATGAGTCCTATACTAGGACGAAACGGCCGTCTTTCAGTGGTTCCAGGTTTCTAATGGTAGTCTAACAATGATTGATTGATGATTTCAAATGTGTAAAATTGCAAAACCTCCAAAACTCTGCCCGAAAAAATCTATGTTTATTATTCTATTCAAATAAGATCAAGTGATTTGAGACTTCTAGTATCATCATTTTATCCATTTCGTACCGTATTTAATTTACATCCGTCAAATGATTCAAAGTTTTTCTTTTTTTAAGTTGCATACATGTACTTGTTATTTTAATACTATTGGATTGTCAATGCTTAAGAAGTGTACAAATTTTTAATTCAACCTTTGCTTGGTTTTATTCTTTTTACAGTATGGATTATTTTGCTTGGTGATTCTGAATAGGTTATATTCTGAATATGTTCACCTGTCTCAAGTGTAGGCAATTACTCACCGAAAACAATGGGTGAGGTTGTGTAATACCATAGATTGATTAAAGTGTGAACACCGTTGTATGTCGGTAATTGTCGACTACCTGGTTGGGGTCCGCGAGATGATCATAATTGATGGTTAGAGACCTTGAATGACATAGCTCAAAATCGTTCTCAATGGCGCCGGTGCATTTATTCTCTGTGTTCTCTCAAATCCTATTCTTCTGGATTTTTCAACACCTCTAGTTTTGATTTTCTAAACTTTTCTCACTGAATCATACTTCTTCAATAATATCTTCTAATCCTAACCTCTCCGATTACTTCTAATACCTTTACTACCTCTTCTACTATTGGATTTGAATTGACAATTAACTCTCTGTGCTGATGTGGCATGGCAACATGAACTGATGTACTTACGTACGAAGTTCTGAGTTGCATCTGACTGACTGACCGTTGTATGCCATCTCATTGGTATAAAGGTTAAGCATTTCCGCCCCCAGACCGAACGTCTTGGATTAGATTCCTGCGGGTGGGGGCGGTGAATGCGTACTTGTGATGATTTGCATACTAGGGACGAAACTGCCATCCAATAATGCTTCCAGGTTTCTATTAGTGATGGTCTAAACAATAATCGACTCATGATTTCAATAAATTTTTATCAATTCCTGATGTACTGACATATTTGGTTACTTTGCTTCTCCAGTCATCAATTTTACCATCTATTTTGTTTTGAATTTTTTCATCTGATTCACATCAAGATGTTCCAATCAAGATGGACTATTTCTTTTTTATTTGTTTTTGTTGCCTTAGATTATAGTTCGAAATGGTTATTTTTCTGGTGGTGCAGGTTATGTTCTATCGAGAGAAGCATTGAAACGTATAGTAGAACAATCCATTGATAAACATCCTAAATGTCCAGTTTATGATGAAAATATGGAAGATGTAAAAATGAGTAAGTGTGGGATGATGATGATGATGACGATGAGATTTTCTGTACTGAATTGTAAACAAACTCGATATATATATTTATTTGAAATCATCAATCAATCATTGTTAGACTACCATTAGAAAACTGGAAGCACTGAAAGACAGCCGTCTCGTCCTAATATGGGACTCATCAAGGCAGTGAGCATCCGCGGCTCTTGTACCTCGCAGAATTCGAATCCGGAACCTACGGTCTTGTGCGCGAACGCCTAACCATCGGATCACTGGGCCGGCATCCAATGGTGTTAATGTCTACGTATTTCGCGCGACCCCACCCATTTGTCTTTGGTAATTACTGCCTACACCCGACAGGATTGAACTCCATTGGTCACGTCTTCTCAACCAGAACTCCGAGAATTTCCTCACGAAGCTAGTCACTAGGAGTTGTGGATGCGCACTGCCACTGATGAGTCCCATATATCAGAACGAAACGGCCGTCCAGTGCTTCCAGGTTTCTAATGGTAGTCTAACAATCATTGATTGATGATTTCAAATGTGTAAAAACACAAACCTCCAAAACTCTGCCTGAAACAAAACATATATATATATATATATATATATATATATATATATATGACAATCTTTGCAATGAATATGATGAGTTTATCAAAGCTAGTTTTTGTAAAATTTAGATTTAACATTTTATTGACTTTCAAACTACCCCTTATTTTTAGTTGAAGAACTTTTCCCGCCTTCGTCTGTTTGTCCGTTGTAAACATCCTTGAAATTTCTAATAGATTCCTTACTTATAAAACACCATGATTCTTTATAAATGATAGTTTCAATAAACGTGATCAACAATTGTTCATAGCCAATAAGCATTAGAGGTTAGGTCTCTTATATATATTGGAGTAACCTGGGAGTAACTTTTAATATTATTTTAATTATACCTAAATAAGACTAGAGGTTATTAATCATAAGTTTCCGCTTGCTTTAGATCACCCGCAACAAACACTGCTAACATACACTGCATCATCAATCATAGTATATCAGTAAAGCTTTCAAGACGTCTTATTTTTTCTTTCATTGACTCCATCTTTCACATAGGCTTATAAATGATGAGATGATTATTAAGAAAGCATAGAACATAAACAGAAACAATTATCTGTGTAGAAAATTGAAGAAAATTGCTTGCTTATTTTGTGGAACAAATAAACACCATGTATTTTTATACCTAATATTGCAAGTTGACATTTATTGTATTTCACTGATGAAGGCATTAATAAGATATTACTAGAGAATCAAAGATCACATATCTTGATTGAAGAAGATCTACTTAGTTTAAATTTGTAACTCAGTTAGATGCTTTCGGTGATGTTGTTTTACCGGAACTAGATGGGTCTAGACAAAATTATGAGTGATTACTTAATATAAAAGTGAACTTTCCAGCGATTTCACAAGTGATGTATCAGTTTCATTTTGATGATGTCATTAGTGATTGATCGACTGTTTTTAATTTTTGTATTCATGTCGAATGACTCTTTCAGTTGACTTCCAACTCATTGACTGACTAACCTCTTCTATATAGGTTGTTAGTTTGGTTAAAAATTCATCTTGATTTGATCATTCTATAATAATAAAACATGAAGATAGTGAATTTCTTCCTCCTGGCAAAACATTTGGCTTTCTTTACTGTCAGCCACCATTTATCTTTGCTCATAGTACTACTAGTGACTTAATGTTAATATCAAGGCTAATCCGTACAGGATGCATATATACCAAAAAACAGAGACTGATCAATTGTAGTTGTAAACATTATTGAGAACACTCAAATAACCAGTGAGAATGAATCAATAGTACATATACATTTGTTAGGGCTGTGGTGCGCGCTACTTATAAGTAGTATATGACGCCAGTGTAAACGTAATGTCTGGCAGCACAAGATGGGGGAAGATCAAGAAAGGAAGAGTGGGAACACAATGGAATTTGTATGAAACGCATGAATAGTGAACTGTCAGACAATGGATTGATGATGGATTGAAGATTTGCAAATTAACGGTTACGATATGGTTTTCCTATTTTACTGAGTAACTCAGTAATTTTTATTAAATACAATTCGGTTGCCCTCACCTGTGTTCCCCTTCACTGCAGGGCCATTATTTACTTGATAAAATATTGAACGTTGAACGTTATCATTTTTATCCTATTCATTGATCACCATTAGCATTTTTCAAAATGCCCACTGTAAACTAATTAAAAATATTAAATAATCATCAATTTCATAGTTGTTATATCTTCAAAACTTATCGAATTTTTATTGACAACATTAGAATTAAGCTCCTGATTTATTTATTGGTTGGATGATTTTTACAGAATCAAAGCAGCATCCACGGATCTCCCAATTAATATTGGCGTACCTACAATTGAGTAGATCAGCATGGCCATCAGACAAATCAAGAGCGGCAAATCAACAGGACCAGACAACATTCCAGCAGAGGCAATGAAAGCAGATGTAGAAGCAACTGCGAAAATATTTCACATTCTCTTCAAGAAGATTTGGGATGAGGAACAAGTACCATCAGATTGGAAAGAACGATACCTCATCAAAATACCAATGAAAGGCAATCTCAACAAGTGTGGGAACTACAGAGGCATCACTCTTCTTTCAATACCAGGCAAAGTCTTCAGCAGGGTATTGTTAAACAGAATGAAGGACTCCGTTGACGACCAACGTCGAGATCAACAAGCTGGATTTCGTAAAGATCGATCGTGTACTGACCAAATCGCAACATTACGGATCATTGTGGAACAATCAATTGAATGGAATTCACCACTCTACATCAGCTTCATCGACTACGAGAAAGCATTCGATAGAGTGGATAGAAAAACACTGTGGAGGCTTCTTCGACACCACGGCGTGTCTGAGACGATAGTCAATATCATACGGAATTCTTATGATGGATTCAACTGCAAAATCGTACACGATGGACAGCTAACGGACTCTTTCGAGGTGAAGACCGGTGTCAGGCAAGGTTGCTTACTCTCACCCTTTCTCTTTCTCCTGATCATCGACTGGATTATAAAGACGTCAACATCTGGAGGGAAGCACGGTATTCAGTGAACAGCTAGGAAGCAGCTGGACGATCTGGACTTCGCAGATGATCTGGCTCTTCTATCTCACACGCAACAACCAATGCAAGAGAAGACGATCAGTCTAGCAGCAGCTTCTGCAGCAGTAGGTCTCAACATACATAAAGGAAAAAGCGAAATTCTTCGGTGCAACACAACATGCACCAACAAATTCACTCTTGATGTTGATGCCTTGGAAGACGTTAACACCTTTACATATATGGGCAGCATCATCGACGAGAAAGGTTGATCCGATGCAGATGTGAGGGCACGGATTGGCAAAGCAAGGGCTGCATTTCTACAGTTGAGAAATATCTGGAACTCCAAACAACTCTCGACCAAAACCAAAATCAGGATTTTCAATTCAAATGTCAAGACAGTTCTACTGTATGGAGTGGAAACATGGAGAACTACCAAAGCCATCATCCAGAATATACAAGTGTTTATTAACAGCTGTCTACGCAAAATACTTCGTATTCGTTGGCCAGACACCATTATAAACAACGAACTGTGAGAGAGAGCAAACCACATTCCAGTGGAGGAGGAAATCAGGAAGAAGCGATGGAAGTGGATAAGACACACACTACGAAAATCACCTAATTGCGTCACGAGACAAGCCCTCACATGGAACCCTTAAGGTACAAAGAAAAGAGGAAGGCCAAGGAACACATTACGCCGAGAAATAGAGAAAGATATGAGAGGAATGAACAAACATTGGACAGAACTGGAGAGGGAAGCCCATGACAGAGTTGGCTGGCGAAAACTGGTGTGTGGTTTATGCTCCATTGCGGGTAATAGGCGTAAGTAAGTAAGTAATTAAGTTGACAGAAAGCCTCATTATTAAAACATATTCATCCTTACAGTTTAACCCATTCTTGGTGAATAGACTTTGGTCAACGAACGCTATTGACAAGGGATCTGTTAGCAGTCAAAAATCTCCCGATCCGAAATCGCCCAGCGGCTTCTCTGTTGATTGTGATAGTGAGTGTGACATAGGTTTAAATCTCATTGAAAGTATCAGTTCCTCTCCCGAAAATCCCAAGAAAGCACCGAAAAGGTAGTAAGTAATCTTAGGTTCGTAGTTACTTCTAATCGATTAACTACATAAAAATCTTACTAATATACACCTAAGCTAAAGTGAAAAGAACAAGAAAAAGAAGAAGATTGCTTTGTTAAATCAATAAATTTATTTTTCATTGAATTCATTTTTGAGCCAAGTAAATAAATAACTGGTAAATTCACAGTCGGATTTATTGTATTCCGTATTAAATTTTAATAAAATTATATCTTGAAAATAGAAATCAGCTAATTCTCTTGAACGAGTGAACCTCAAGAACTGATCTTTTGTTCAAATTCAGCTGCTCCTGTGGAGATGGCTATATCGGGCGTACTACCAGGCAACTTACACAACGCATGAGTGAACATCTCCCAGTATGGTTTACGAAGGGTCAGTCAAAAATAATACGCAGTTCTATCTTAGCACACCTGGTCGATAGTGATCACATTGTAGCTAAATCTAGTTGTTTTCGGGTGATCTATCGTATACCTCCATCATTTCCCAACGGAGTTCGATCCCGTCTCCTATACATTGCAGAAGCCATAGGAATACGTACATTCAACCATAATTTATGTGTTCAGAAGAAATTCATGACACCCCTATCTCTTCCGTGGCCGGATATAACGTAACTAACGAATGACATTATATTTTTTATTTTATTTTATTTTTATTTTTACATATTTGCTTATTACGTAATGTTTTTGATGTTTTCTGATGATTATTTGAATTCTATTCATCCACCTTTGACCTACTTTAGTTATCATATTTTATAAATTTTCCTACTATATCTGATCAAATTGCCTTGATTGGTTTTAACATTTTCATATAAATATTCATGTGTATTGGAGTAAAGCCTGATGACGATCTAATCGAAAACAATATTGTTCACTTATATGTCCTATTGGATAACAAAAGAATATTCTGAGTTCTGTCCTGCTTCATAATATTTTTGTATTCATAAGCCGACTGATGTTTTTTATAAGCGTACAAAAAGATGAATAATCATAGTTATTGTGCAATGAATCGATCTATCAAAAAAAAGGTATTTATTACTGCATTCACATTGTAGTGAATGAGAACACAGGTGGGGCAACCGAATTGTATTTAACGAAAATTACAGAGTTACTCAGTAAAATAGGAAAACCATATCGTAAACGCTTGATTTGCAAATCTTAAATCCATCATCAATCCATTGTCTGACATTTCACTCACTATTCATGCGTTTCATACAAATTCCATTGTGTTCCCACTCTTCCTTTCTTGATCTTCCCCCATCTTGTGCTGCCAGACATTACGTTTACACTGGCGTCATATACTACTTATAAGTAGCGCGCACCACAACATTAGTAGCATTTCTAAGATTTCTTAAAGTTAACTTCATCAAAAACTTTTTAGCTTCTATACATTATTATTCCATTAAATTTAGGTATATGTGGACAAGCAGTTGGTGTTCGTTTATACGATGTATTTGATATACTTGGTCGTTTTCGACTCCTTTGGACATCACCTGATTTATTGTTGAATTTTACATCTTATCGAAAATTGAAATGGCGTCCTGTCAAGTTACAACCAAACTCTTTATATGCAGCACCACATCAGGTAATTTTTTTTACTTGTATTTGTATTTATGTTTTTTTTTGTGTGTGCATTTCAAAGTTCAACTATCAAGTGTTTTGTTTTAATCCCGGAATAGAGCTTCGAAAAGATTAAGATAAATATTTTATTCATTACGGGGTTGTGAAGATTGTTAAGTTACACATTTTTGAAACCATGAATCGATCAATGTTAGACCACCATTAGAAACCTGGAAGCAGGTTTCAAAAATGTGTAACTTAACAATCTTCACAACCCCATAATGCAAATTACCTGTGCTCACTAGTGACTAGCTTCGTAAGGAATATTCTCCGAGTTCTAGTGGGAAGACGTGACCAGTGAAGTTCAACCTATTCGAGTGTAGACAGTGTCTGCTGAAGTCTGTGTATGAGGTTGCACAACTCCGTGAATTTATCAAGTTAGACATTAACACCGTTTGATACCGGCTCAGTGGTCCGATGGTTTGGCGTTCGCCTACAATACCAAAGGTCCTGGGTTCGAATCCCGCGGGATGCAAGAGTCATGAATGCGCACTGCTGAGGAGTCCCATACCAGGACGAAACAACCGTCCAGTGCTTCCATGTTTCTAATGATGGTTTAACATTGATAGATTCATAGTTTCAAATATTTTATCGACTAGAGAATATGATCAGTTAACATATATAGTCATGGTATGTATTGTATATACAATAGTCCATAGAACAGATTTTTTAACTGGTTTACCATTTAGTGGCCACAGGTTTGTTTGACTCTATTTCGGATGAATAATATAAATATGATAGGTGATCAATCATTCATCCAATTTCCGCATATTATTGTGTTACGCAAACTCTGTTTGTGCGACGGTGCTAATAAGAAGCTCAATACAGGTTTTGGTGTATCAGTAGTTCATTTCAAGCAATCGTTTACGCAAATAGGTGGGAAAGCGAAATAAAGTGGAGAAATTGAATGATGAGGCATAAAATAGGTATTTATAGTTAGACAAAACTAAGTTAGATAAGTTATAAGCAAAACAAGAAACGCACACACTCAAATAAAGATAACCGAGGTTATAAGAGTATAACTGACTAACAACAAAAGAGGTGTAGATAACTTCAGAGGAATAGATTAATTGATTTGTTAACTAGCTGGGGCAAACTATGTGTGCTGAACATGTTAGTACCAACTACAATCATTTATGATTTTATAAATATTGTAAACTGTACTGTTTAGTATAGTATAATAACATAGTTTTATGTTGCATTTATGATATACAGTCAAACTGTCAAATAGTTAATTACACGCGCTCGCATTTCAAGTATTTACACACCTCGTGCGAACCACTCAATTTTAAATACTAAAATCTTACCAATCTCGTGATCATTGATAATTGGTCTCAAGGTGGACTCCTAAGTTCTCAGAAAGAATTATCTATTAGTAGATTTTAGTTATGTTATGCAAGTGACGGTCATGTGCCAGTAACAAAAGATTCTTGTTCACTAATACAAACTGAATGAATTAGTAAATATGATTACTATGAAAATATATTTTGTTTCGATTATGTTATCTGAATGTAAATAATGATAATGATAAATCTTAGACCACCATTAGAAACCTGAAAGCAATGGACGGATATTTCGTCCTGATATGAGATTCATCAGCGGTATTGATCCACGACTTTTGCATCGCTCAGGATCCGAACCCATGACCACTCACCAATCTCCATTACTCCATTAGGCAATTACTTGTGCTTACTAGTCACTAGCTCTGTGAGGAGTCTTCTCCAAGTTCTGATGAAAAGTCATGACCAGTAGAGTTCAACCTTGTTTGGATGTGAAGCAATGCTCACCGAAGGCAGTGTATGAGGTTTCGCAAGACCGAAGTTAGACATTATTACCGTTAGGTGCTGGTTCAATGGTTTGGAGACTAGGCGTTTGCTTGCAAGACCGATGGTCCAGGGTTCGGATCCTGCCAGGTGCAGGAGTCATGGATGAGCACTGTTGAAAAATTCCATACCAGGATGAAACAGCCATCCATTGCTTCTAGGTTTCTAATGATGATCTAACTATTACTGATCGATTCATGATAAATTTACAGATATGTAAAAGAACTTTCTCTGTTCAATGATAATACATTTTGTTAAGTTGCATTATTTTTTTCTGTTTTTTTTTCACATCATTTAAAAAAAAATACATATTAATCAAAAAAACAATCATCATTCATTGTTTACATTGATCATTAATCAAGTCATTACTTAGTGATGGTGGAATCAGTTTTCATTATATTACACCAGATATGATGTATATGTTAGAATATTTCTTATATTATATACGTCCAATTGGATTAGTAAATGATTTCATTCAATTACCAGATGAAATTTGTAATCAGCAATAAACTGATGATGATCACAAAGCGGAGAAACATTACTATTTATTCATATATTTCTTTCGTTAAATGACAATGTGAATATGGGAGATTCATTTGAGTATATTTAAAATCGTTTACATGCTATCATTCTGTAGTTATTTGTGAAACAATAACATTTTGTAATGATGACCTTTTACTGGCTGGCCATTTTGTAATATGCATAAATTGCGTGTGTGGTTATTCAATTCTTTATAATTGAACTTACTTATTGTTTTTTTTTGTAAAATTCTCATTCAATTGTTTGTTTGTTTTTTTCAAAAATTTTTGTACGATATATATTCACTGTTCAGTACAAAAAAATACATATTTTACTGAGTATGGATTCATTCACAGTATTAAATTGACCCCTGTTTATTGTCAAGGCCGATTTTACATTGGTTTTTTTTGAGGAGAACCAAGGATGTGTTAGCATTTCAACATGAAAAGTTTGGTTCAATCCTGTGGTACAACCACACAGGTACCTGATACCTTGCTGGACCATAGATTGAATTTAAGTTGTCCTTTCAGAAAAGATACCTTGAGACTTGTGAAGTTCACATGCATTCAAAACAAGCTACAGTATAGGAATTACTGATTTCTACAAGAATACATCTTAATTTTAACAGTCTTTGTCTATTTCTCCACGTAAGTCTTACTTAGCCTTCATCTTTTACCTTGACCATGAGGATTCCAAATGAGGACTGATCTTGTGACGCAGTTAGGTGCTTTCTACAGTGTCTGTCCTCTTCAATTCTAAAGCTTCTTCTTGATTTCCTCGTTCTCTGGAATCTGGTTTGCTCTCTCCCAAAGTAGGTTGTTGCTGATGGTGTCTGACTAACGGATTCGAAGTATTCTGAATGATGGCTTCTGCAGTCTTCCAAGATTCAGTCCCAAACAGTAGAATTGTCTTGACATTTGGATTGAAAATCCTTATTTTGGTTTCGGTTGAAAGTTGTTTGGAGTTCCAGATATTTCTCAACTGTAGAAATGCAGCCCTTGCTTTGCCATTCCGCGCCCTCACATCTGCATCGGATCCACCTTGATTGTCGATGATGCCACCCAGATATGTAAAGGTATTAACGTTCTCCAAGGAATCTCCATTAGGAGGGATTTGGTTGGCGCATGTTGTGTTGTATCGCATAATCTTGCTTTCACCTTTATGTATGTTGAGACCTACTGCTGCAGAGGCTGCTGCGACACTAGTCGTTTTCTCTTGCAGTTGTTGTTGTATGCACGATAGAAGAGCCAGATCATCTGCAAAGTTCAGATCGTCCAGCTGCATCCTTGTTGTCTACGATATCCCGTGTTTCCATCCACACGTTGACGTCCTTATAATCCAGTCGATAACCAGTAGAAAGAGAAAGGTTGAGAGTAAGCAACCTTGTCTGACACCGGTCTTCACTTCAAAGAGTCTGTCAGCTGATCTCCGAGCACGGTTTTTCAGTTTAATAGATCGTAAGAATTCCGTATGATATTGACTATATTCTCAGACACGCCGTAGTGTCGAAGAAGCCTTCATAGTGTTATCCTGTCGAAGCAATCTAATGCTCTCTCATAGTTAATGAAGTTGATGTATAGTGGTTAATTTCATTCAGTTCATTGTTCCACAATGATCCGTAATGTTGCAATTCAGTCAGTACACGACCAGTGCTTACGAAATCCAGCCTATTGATCTCGAAGTTGGGCGTCTACGAAGTCCTTCATTCTGTGTAACAACACCTTGTTGAAGACTTTGCCTGGTATTGAGATGCTTCTGTAGTTCTCACACTTGCTGAGATTGCCTTTCTTTGGTAACTTGATGAGGTATCCTTGATTAAAGTCTGTTAATACTTGTTCCTCATCCTAAATCTTCTTGAAGAGAATGTGAAGTATTTTTGCAGTTGCTTCCACTTCTGCTTTCATTGCCTCTGCTGGAATGTTGTCTGGTCCTGTTGATTTGCCACTCTTGATTTGTCTGATGGCCATGCTGATCTCTTGAATTCTAGGTGCGGCAACATCGATTGGGAGGTCCGAAGATGTTGCTTCGATGTTTGGTGTGTTCAGCGGGGCTGGTCGATTCAAGAGTTCCTCGAAGTGCTCTACTCACCTGTTTTGCTCTTCTCCAGTGTTGCTGATTACTTTGCTTTTTTCGCTTTTGACTACCCTTTCTGGTGTACAGCAGTTTCTAGAAAGCCTCTCTGTTTTATCGTACAATTGTCTTAAATTTCCTTCTCTTGCAGCTTTTTCCGCCATCATTGCTAGATCTTCCACATTTTTATATTTGTCGTCGCTGATGTTCCTCTTCATTTGCTTGTTTTCGTTTGTGTATTCAGCTTGTGCCTTGACTCTTTCTGCTCTTGTTAGACTAATTTTGATTACTGCCTTCTTCTTCCTCCTCTCTTGGATTTTATCAGAAGTTTCAACAGAGATCCATAAAGTATGATAAAATTTAACATTTTTTGAATAATTTCCAATAATGCTTTATAACCTCCGGTAAGCAAAAACTTGAATGATATCTTAGCCGCTGAAATACTTCCTGAGTAGCTGTTGCAAAATTTTCCGATTCTGTAAAATATACGCATTAAATTAGATTATACAATATACAGGTGAGGAGAATCGCGAGACTGATGTCGAATAATTTCACATTCAGAGTTAAACTCCTCCTTGTATATAAATTTATTTTACACTTAACGAAAGTAGAATTTCTAGTAAACTGTAACTTATGCAAACTCACTACCAATCACTGAGAAACGTTTTCTATCCTCACACTTTTATAACCATTATCATGAATATAAAAACAAATATCCATGTCAACAATAGCGAAAACTGATTACAGTAAAATATGTAAACCATTGAACATTGAATCAGTGGTCTACAAATTAAGCGCTCAATTCAAATAAACAAATATTTGCAGTACAATACCAGATAAGGTTATAAATAATCATTTTTGACCAGTCTCTTACTTAAATCAAAACAACTAACTATTCAACGATTCCTTGTCTAAAATTGGTTTATCATACAAAGAAAGAGAAAAATCTGCAATTTTTATTACACAAATTAATTTGAATGATTTTTTTCCACAAATATTTTTATAATCAACTTTACATTATATTTGCATTATTACAAATAACGTAAACACAAATAATAATGTTTTTTTTTACTTTAAAATGAAATTAACGTACTAAATGTTTTTTTCCTCTATCATTATTGTTTAAATATTTTTTCCTAACGATTTATTGAACATTGAATAAAAATTATGCAAACAACAAATAAATGACCTAATTTTAAAAAGAAGGAAAAAATAATATCAAAAACTCAAATTAAAATAATTTTCCATGACCTTAGGAAATAAAAAAACATAATATTTATTTAATTATATAATTTTTTTTAAAAAGTTTACATCATCGTCATCATCATCATCATCATCATCATAGGTCTTCCACTCAACTCACCATAGTCATAACAACCATCCTCCGTAAAAATTTAAGCAAAAAAAAAAACAAAACAACAAAAAATTTATGTCCTGTCTCGGAAATTTCCCTACTATTCATGTTAGTGTTTGTTCAATGATACTCGTGTCATCATGATGATGAACTAATTAAAAAAATATTAGTTCATTTACTTTCATACTTGTTATAATTAGTAACAATAGTTGTTTACAAATATCTGGCTGTTTGTTTCCAGACAAAAAATAACTCGTCGATAGGCTTTGTAGTGAACGAGAACACAGATGGGGCAACCGAATTGTTTACAACGAAAATTACAGAGTTACTCAGTAAAATAGGAACACCATATCGTAAATCGTTAATTTGCAAAATATCAGTTCATCATATCGAACTTGACTGTTCCTGTTGTAAAACATCAAACCATTGTCACTATTCATGCGTTTCATGCAAATTCCACTGTTTTCTAACTCTTCCTTTCTTGATTTCCCCCCATCTTTTGCTGCCAGACATTACGGTGACACTCACGTCATATACTACTTAAAAAGTAGCTCGCACCACAGCTTTAGTCAGTTGGCCATTCTTTTATTCTTAAATTCTAAATAGAGTTATTTCACCAGTATATATCACTAGCTTAGTTGAAAGAGCTTAAGTTTAGTTACAAGCTATAACCAGGGTATGTTCATAATCGTGGATAGAATCGAACCTTGTAAATTCAGAGTTTTGATGCTTAGTACCAAACCATTTAGACTAATTAATTTTAGTTCAGTTCAGTCCAGTTAGCTTCATAATGAAGTGATTTTAATAGTCATTATGTTCATCACAGTAATATTTTAGTTTAACCCTTACTGAAAAACTAACAAGTATTTGCCAGGTAGTTCACTCTGGAATGGACCTCAACAATGCGAATCTTTGATCCCATCGCAGAGGCGGGATCTTTTAAAACCGCTCCATTTATTTTCAATTATTGTACAATTATTGATATTTCATCGAATAAATTAATACTGAAATTGTTTCATTGAAATTTTCTATTTGCATAATATGAATGAGAATGAAAAAAGGTATCTGTTGTATAGTGTTCATTCAGAAAAAAAAAACTTATCAAAATTCTTTTAAGAAAGTTAACTACATTTCAATCATTTACTGATGGGATCGTTTAATGGTTACTTTATAGAATGAATGTAGTACGACTAAGCAGTATGAATAAGTCATCAGGTGACATAAGTTTTATACTTTCACGCCGGCATCAGTCAGTTAAGAGGTGTAGAAAGGATATGATTCTGACCAGTTTGGTCTCGTGTTTTTACGGGTATGAAGGTGAACGTTACTTCCCGGTTTCCCACACCATGGAAGGATTTTGGTTGTCAGAAGGGGCATCGGCCTCATGACTTTCGAAGGAATACGGCTTTCATCATGAAACGTGATAACTCTTTTAAATGAAGATCTTCTAACTCCCAGAGGAGAGTTTAGATGGTTTAATTTATTTCTTCTTGTTAGCGTCTTTATAGCGAGTTAGATTTTTGCGTGATGGGGTTCGCCAACCCCAATCCCAACCCTCCTCCTTTA